TCGGCTCCTGGACCTACGACAAGGCCAAGATCGACCTGGAGAACATGGACCACCACGTGGACCTCAAGGACTACTGGGAGAGCGGCGAGTGGGCCATCATCAACGCCATCAGCACCTACACCTCCAAGAAGTACGACTGCTGCACCGAGATCTACCCGGACATCACCTTCTACTTCGTCATCCGGCGCCTGCCGCTCTTCTACACCATCAACCTCATCATCCCGTGCCTGCTCATCTCCTGCCTCACCGTCCTGGTTTTCTACCTGCCCTCGGACTGCGGCGAGAAGATCACGCTCTGCATCTCCGTGCTGCTGTCGCTCACCGTCTTCCTGCTGCTCATCACCGAGATCATCCCGTCCACCTCGCTCGTCATCCCGCTGATCGGCGAGTACCTGCTCTTCACCATGATCTTCGTCACGCTCTCCATCATCATCACCGTCTTCGTGCTCAACGTGCACCACCGCTCGCCCAGCACCCACACCATGCCGCGCTGGGTCCGCCGCTTTTTCCTGGGCGTGGTCCCGCGCTGGTTGTTCATGAGGAGGCCGCCGGCGTTGCCGACGGCGCCCGAGGGGGCGGCGGGACAGTACGACCACCCCGGGGCGCGGCTCAGCACGTCGCGGTGCTGGCTGGAGACCGACGTGGATGACAAGTGGGAGGAGGAGGAGGAGGAGGAGGATGAAGAGGAAGAGGAAGAAGGGAAGGCCTATCCCGGCCATCCCGTGGAATCCCAGGAAAGCCAGTTCCACTGCAGGAAGGCGTCCGGGGGCTCGGCGTCGCGCGGATCATCCAAGGGGAAGAAAGAGGAGGAGGAGGAAGAGGAGCAGGAGGAGGAGAAGGAGGATGAGGAGGAGGAAGGCTCGGAGCAGGGCTTGGCGCTGTCCCCCCGGATTCTGAAGGCCCTGGAAGGGGTGCAGTACATCGCCGATCACCTGCGGGCCGAGGACGCCGACTTCTCCGTGAGTTCTGGCATCCGTGGATGGGGTTGGAGATCCCAAAATTGGGAAGGGCAGTTCTGGGATCCAGGTTGATTCCTGAGATCCTAAAAATGGGAAGGGCAGTTCTGGGATCCAGGGTTGATTCCTGAGATCCCAAAATTGGGAAGGGCAGTTCTGGGATTCAGGTTTGATTCCTGAGATCTCAAAATTGGGAAGGGCAGTTCTGGGATCCAGAGTTGATTCCTGAGATCTCAAAATCGGGAATGGGCAGTTTTGGGATTCAGGTTTGATTCCTGAGATCCCAAAATTGGGAAGGGCAGTTCTGGGATCTGTGGATGGAGCTGGAGATCCAAAAACTGGGAATGGTCGCTTCTGGGATCCAGGTTTTGCTCCTGAAGATCCAAAAATAGGAAGGGCAGTTCTGGGATCTGTGGATGGGGCTGGAGATCCCAAAATTGGGAAGGGCAGTTCTGGGATCCGTGGATAGGGCTGGAGATCCCAAAATTGGGAAGGGCAGTTCTGGGATCCGTGGATAGGGTTGGAGATCCCAAAGTTGGGAATGGTCAGTTCTGGGATCCGTGGATAGGGTTGGAGATCCCAAAGTTGGGAATGGTCAGTTCTGGGATCCTGGTTTGATTCCTGAGATCCCAAAACTGGGAAAGGTCAATTCTGGGATCCAGATTTGGTTCCTGAGGACCCCAGAATTGGGAATGGTCAGTTCAGGGATCCATGGACAATTCCCAAGGATCCAAAACTGGGAATGCTCAGTTCTGGGATCCAGATTTGGTTCCTGAAATCCCCAAAACTGGGAATGGGCAGTTCTGGGATCCAGGCTTGGTTCCCAAGGACCCAAGCCCAGGGAGAAGATCCACGACCCATCTCCCACCTCCAGGGAGATTCCCGGTCTGCAGGGTCAGTCAAGGGATCCTTTGGGAATGTTGGAGACCCCTCTCCCACCCTTGGCTCCTAGGCCACGTTCCTGCTTTTCCCAAAGTTTGGAAAATCCCCAAAACCAAAAGTTTGGGATCAGCTCCGCCCTGGAGACCCCTAGGATTTCTTGGAAAACTCCAAAGCTCCTGAGGCAACCAGCAGATTCCCAGGAAGCTCAGGGTGATCTAATCCCAGGAGATTTCCCGGGAAAGGGATTCCCAAACCTTTTTTTTTCCCTGCTGGCAGGTGAAGGAAGACTGGAAATACGTGGCCATGGTGATCGACCGGATCTTCCTCTGGATGTTCATCATCGTCTGCCTGCTGGGCACCGTGGGGCTCTTCCTGCCCCCTTACCTGGCCGGGATGATCTAGGATCTGGCCAGGAATTGTGGGAATGGCAGGAATTGTGGGAATGGCAGGAATTGTGGGAATGGCGGTGACCGGGGGGTGGACGTGGAGCTGTGGAAAAGCTGCGATGGGAATGGAGGGTGGAAAAAGGGATGTGGTGGGGGTGGGGGGTACCTGGATGTGATTCTGTGATCCCATAATCCCGCGGTCCCATGATCCCAGGAAATTGTGGGAAAATCTCGGGATAACGTTGTGGATTGTCTGTGCGAATGGGACATGGATGTAATCCCATTATCCTGTGATCCCATAATCCCGTGATCCCAATTTCCATGATCCCAGGAATTGTGGGACAGGGAAAACGCTATGGGTGGTCTGTGCAGAAGGGACACAGACACGATCCCATAATCCCATGATCCCATAATCCCATGATCCCATGATCCCGTAATCCCCAGAGGTCACGGGACAGTAATAATGCTTTGGATGGCCCATGGACAAGGGATAGGGACAAGATCCTATAATCCCATGATCCCAAAATCCCAAGAGGTCGTGGGACAGGAATAACGTTTTGTCCAGGTGCAGAAGGGTCATGGACATGATCCCATGATCCCACAATCCCACAATCCCACAATCCCAGAAAGTTGTGGGACAGCAAAAAGGCTTTGGATCCTGTCTGTGCAGAAAGGATATGGACAGAATCCCATAATCCCATGATCCCACAATTCCAGGAGACCGTGGGAGAGGGATAATGCTTGTCTAAGCACAAGGGATATGGACAGGATCCCACAAACCTGTGATTCCATGATCCCAGGAAATTGTGGGAAAATTCCAGGATAACGCTGTGGATTGTTTGTGCAAACGGGATGGGGATGTAATCCCATAATCCCGTGATCCCATAATCCTGCAATCCCATAATCCCGTGATCCCAGGAGGTTGTGGGGCAGGGATAATGCTGTCCATGGTCTGTGAAGAGGGGATATGGACATGATCCCATAATGCTGTGATCCCACAATCCCGTGATCCCACGATCCCAGGAATTGTGGAACAGGGATAACGCTGTGGATTGTCTGTGCAGAAGGGACATGGACATGATCCCATAATCCTGTGATCCCACGATCCCAGGAGGTTGTGGAACAGCAATAAGGTTTTGGATGGTCCATGCAGAAGAGACATGGACAGAATCCCATGATCCCATAACCCCAAAAGGTCGTGGGACAGGAATAACGCTTTGTCCCAGTGCAGAACGGACACGATCCCATAATCCCATGATCCCATGATCCCACCATCCCACAGTCCCAGGAGGTTGTGGGACAGGAATAATGCTTTGGATTGTCCATGAAGAAGGGACACAGACATGATCCCATAATCCCATGATCCCATAATTGGGATCATAATTGTCCCAGGAAATTGTGGGACAGGGATAATGCTGTGCATGGGTTGTGTAGAAGGGACACAGACATGATCCCATAATCCCGTGTCCCATAATCCCATGATCCCACAATCCCAGGAGGCCGTAGGACAGGAATAACACTTTGGATTGTCCATGCAAGAAGGGATATGGAATGATCCCATAATCCCATGATCCCACAATCCCAGGAGGCCGAGGGACAGGGATAATGCCGTGGAGAGTCCATGCAGAAGGGACATGGACAGGATCCCATAATCCCAGGAAATTTTGGGACACCTCAGATCCCAAATCTCCTGGCTCCTTCCATAAATCCTCCAGACCCCTCGGAGCACCTGCTCCCTTTTTTCTCCCACCAACACTCGGAGAAATTCCAGGATTTTTTTTTTTTTCCCTGGTCTGTTTTCCCTCCTGGAACACCACCGGGAATCTTTGAGGGAACGTTTTGTGCTTTCTGGAATGAAACCAGGCGGAATTAACGGGGCTGCAGGAGGACAGGAACATCCCGAGGGTGTCCCTGCCGCTTCCGGAGCCTCCGGAGCTGGCAGACGGATCAGGCGCGGGGACACGTGGAGGGGA